ACCGCGGTAATAACTAGCAGGAATTCAAACCAGAAGTAAGTTACAAGCATGCAATCTAGTTTTGATATAGGAACATATCAGAATGAAGGAACAATTCCATATCCTGTGTCGAACATTATCATTGTGGAGAAAGCTTGGTCTGCCTCTGCATCGACTTCTTTCCTCTTTGCAAACCGGCCCTTGATCCGTGGTCTTGTCTCTGCATACGCCTTCCTTGAAGCATATCTTATTGTCTTCTCAAATTTCCTCATCTTCTTCTTCTCTCTGTATCTCAGGACTCTAGCTTCTCTGTCCATTGGACTAAGCATCTGAGTTGGAGGTTCAGGTAGTTGGTCTACTACTGCTTTGGGCGATCTTGGGTGTGATATTGTTATGTCACTCATTGTTGACTCTGGCACAACTCCGATATGGCTTACCATATGACTTGGGGAACCATTGGAGCTTCGATGATCTCCTGAGGAGCCATGGGTGAAACCGAATTGAAAGTCATGTTGCTCATGGTGCATGTGACCCTTTAATTCTTCAACTTGAAGTGGAACAACTCCATCTCCCCCATAGCTCCTCTGAGGTACGTTGTAGTCTTGGTGATACTGATTGGATTGATCTGTGAATTGCTTATCCATACTCGAACTGTAATCGACAAGGTCTAGATACTCGTCACCAATCGAGAACCCATTGTTCTGACTATTGTTGTTGTTACCACTGTTTTTCCCTGAATTAGGCAACAACCAAGAAGCCGCCTCTGCTTCATCTTCGTCCTCTTCTTGACCCACCACCAGTCTGTTCTCTGGATCTGTCGTCACTGTTGTTGTCTCACTTGAATGCTTATTCCCCATGGAACTGTAAGAGTTTCCAGAGATTGGCAGAATTGGCACTCGTTGATGGCGTCTAGCAAGCGGGTTTGCGGAATGAATCTCTGAATCACAGGCTGTGCATAGAGATGCAGCATCTGCCTTGCAGAAAAAGGCAGCAGGGGCTCGCTCACATGATTCGCACACCCGAACACGTTCATGGCGGGAAGCAACACGATTGGCAGCATGAACTTGAGCATCACAGCTGGTGCACAAGTAGGCAGAATCAGCGCGGCAGTACACTGTGCAGGCGGCTGAGCGGCATGTATCACAGGTTTGTGCCCAGTTACTCTCTTGTTTCAACATAATAACTAAGTTGTATTTGTTTGGATGGTGAGGTAGATTGTATCTGAAAGGCAGAGACTAATAAGGCTATATCTAAAGGTAAAGCAAGAGAAAGATAGAATCCCGAGGGATAACACGTGGCGAAAAGTTAGTGGCCTTGATCATCTTGTGGCTGGCTGAGTTTCTGAGAAGGGTTGTGTATGGGGTCCAGTCCACAGATGCTTACATTGGCTTTTGGAATCATCAACCATCAGGAAAAAAAAAAAGTGATAAACACAAGAGTTACGACTCTCTCTCTCTCTAAGTGTAAACATCTCTTCCTATGTACTCTTCTATGGGACCCATCCACATGTTGCCTAGGTTCTGGTCCGTGACACACCAGACAATTTTGGTAACTTTTACCTATTATCGTGTTATCTTCTACTATTTTTGGCAAAGGTGGAAACTTTAGTGTAGCTCTTTGGGTTGACCATGGAATTGTTAAGAAAGTGATAACTACTAGCTCTTTCGTGTTATCTTCTACTATTTGGAATTGTTAAGGAAGTGATAACTTTTAACCATTTGTTATATTACTATGATGCTCACATCATGTCGGTCAAGCTGATGTGGCAAACGGTGGAGATCCAAGATGCCAATTGGGAACCGCCAAGTCGCTTCGGAGTCTATGGATTAGGAAGAACAAGAGCCACAAGTTGAAGCAAATGGTGGGGGTTAGTTATATATCACATATGGCTACAAGAAGCATGTTCTTGTCTGTTCATAGTAACAGATCATGCATAAGTCCATGAGTATTGACTCATCTCTATCACCTTTTGAGGACATGATAAAAAAAGAACTCGATAATATCAATTGTAGCTTTTATTAGATTTCAAACTTGTGGAAGTAATCATATTGAGATGTGTTTTAAATCTACTACATGGGTCAAATAAAAAATTTGGTGGATCCACAAAGTATACATTTTGAAACCTAACATATTTTCTAATGATGCAATAAAAAACTTTTGAAGTTAAACGGCATAACAGGTGAGAGTTTCTATTTATATCCAAGAAACAAATCGAACAACAGAAAAATGAAAGCACAGAACAAACTTAACAAGAGTTCTTTTCGTTTTTTGGCGGTCAGAAGGGGCTAACCTCACGAGCCAGTTTCAGCAACAACTCTGGGACAAGACGCTTTCTGGGAGGAGCCAATGAGTCTTTGGCCAGCGCATCATTGTCGTCCGCGTGTATCACAGAGACTATGTCATCAAAGAGTTCGTCTTTACCGCCTCTTAAGGGATCCTAAAAACAAGTACTCTCATGTGTTTAACTGTTTATTATAAGATAAGTGTGATACAATGCAAGGTATATTAGTTTATGTGCCTTACCTGAAGAAATAAGTCGGTATGTGTCTTTCCGCTGTATAAAATAAGCTCCGCTTTGGCTCCAACTGTTTGGAGAGCCTCTGCAAAAGTTTTGCTGCAAAGAGAGGTGGTTTTAGTAAAGCAAAGGTTTAATTAACAATGTATGACTTCAAGAGGATGATCATATATATACCTTTCGTCGGATGGTATGGAATAATCTGAGGATCCATGGTAAAGTATAATAGGAGGCAACAGAGATGCGGCTTTTCCAACAATTGGGTCTTTCAATCTTACTTCCGGTGAGAATTTGTCAAAGGACTCTTCTCCTTCCATTATGCTACAAGTTGGAGTTGAACATTAGAAAGATACGACTGATTAGACTGCGTTTCGGACTTGATTAACTGAGAATTTACCTTAGGAAAACCGAGCGATACAGGCCTCGATTATGGAAGTGGTCAACCAAATTGTATAGATTGTACCTGTTCAAGTTCAAAATGATAAGCACGTAGTATAACAAACGGGAAATAAAAAATCAAAGTTTAGAAAGTACCCTCCGGACAATCCGAAATAAGCTTTTATCTGGGAAACCTTCCAGGAGATGCTCTCTCCTTTGGATTCTTTAGTAGCCTGTTCCAATAAAGCACATGCAGCTATATGGGCACCAGCTGATTGCCCCATCAGATAGATCCTACAGAAACAAGCTCATGGAGTTTCAATACACGAGACCAATTGGGGAAGATCGAATGGTAGATAAGCCAAGAAAATGAGTTGAAACCTGTTGGGGTCACCTCCAAATGCAGAGATGTTATTGCAGACAAATGAAATTCCTTGAGAAGCATCTGTCACCATATCACTAATTGTTCCCTGAGGAAAGTTCCTACACCAAAAGGAAAGGATTGCTTGGTAAATGCATGGAAGAAGAAAAAACTAAATTTTCAATACATCTCAAAAAGCTCCAAACAGAACTAAAGTAGTTTATATCCTTTGTGGACTCTACCACATATATAAGTAGAACAAGGAGCTAAGTTTTTTATTGTAACTTTCGTTACCTGTAGTCAACACATGCTACAATGATATCCCTTTCTGCTAGCTGCATTCCCAGGAGCGAGCCCCAAGCTTTGTACCTAAATATCAGCACAAGAGTAGCAAACATGAACTTATTAACACGCGACTTCATCTAGTGCAAGAAGATGAAACCTGAGTGAGATAAAGAATACAGAGCACTTGGGGAACTTTATTACTGTGCACGGGAACTGGGACACAAGATATATCGTAATATACCTACATCCTACACCAAAACTACATGCACAGTAACTGTAGAACAAACAAACTTCAATATGTAGAGGAGAATGTCGTAAATCCAATGTGCTACTTACCCAATAATCCAAGCTCCACCGGTCACAAAAACCACAACCGGCTTCATGCCATCATTATTGCTTGGTAAGTACAGATCCAGCCTACCGAATCGCCGTTCATACACGCAATACATCAACAATCTCAGACATAAGGGATGTGATAAGAACAGGCATTCAACATACCACTAATAGTCTCAGGTAAAGATTCTATTCAGTTCACACACAAACCTGTTCCTTGGTTGATCTCCATACACTATACTCCTCCGGACTTGTGACGAGAAAAAATATTTATATGCAACTGCAGAATACAAAAAAAAACAGCATCTTAATTTTAAAGAAATCCTTTCTATGTAATTTGTTCAACAG